TTACAGACGAATGATGAGGATACCGTGGATAGAGAAGATTAGAAATGAAGAGGTATTAGAAAGAATAGGAGAACAGAGGCCTCTATAGAAGTTAATAAGAAATAGGCTAGATAGATTAGTAGAACACCTTGTCGGTCTAATCAAAGACATATTAGAGGTAGCATCGGGAGTTAGGAGGGGTAGAGGTAGACCTAGATTAGATTACTGCTCGGAAATTGTTAAGGATATGGGTTGTTCTAGTTTTACGAAAATGCGAAGACTAGCTCAGGATAGGAAAGAGTGGAGGTTCGTGTCCAACCAGTCTTAGAACTGACGACGTTATGATGATGATTTCCGTTAGATTACAATTATTTACAATATCAATATTCACTGTCGTCAATTTCATTTTATATTTATAAAGGCTAAGTAGGTCATTACTGATTGAAAATATTCAAAAAAGGCCAGTTGTGCTAGTGGGCTATTAATAATGTGTAGGTTGTATGTTCATAGATTTCTGTACAATTTTTTCTGGCTATCCATCTATTTCAATTAAGTTCTCGTGACATTCATTTCACGTTGTATGCGTCAAAAAAATAAAAACCTCGACTGAAATATGTAAATGCAGAACTAATACCTTCATGTCATAAATCATTCGTTATGGAGCTGAGTGCTTCGCTCTCGTTTTATGCTAACTTCCATATTGAATTTCATGAACAATTGAAATTGTAAATTTTACATTTTTATCATCAGTTTCGTCGTAAGGCAAGTAGAAAGAATCGAAATGTTAAAGTGCCTACATAATGTTTCAGAAAATGAAACACGTAACCGTTGGTTGGAGATGCTTGCTAACGTTTCACTAGTATAAGTGACGAGTTTCTTCAGAAGTCCTTCCATCTTCAATGCTTCTATTAGGAAATTTAAACTGGTTAATTAGTTTATTTTATAACTTTTCATTTAGTTACTGATTTCACTATTTATAATACCTGGCAGGCTACACCTTAAATTATCCCCTGAACTTTGTATTATCAAAAACCGTTGAGTAACGACCGAGTTATAAAGGCAGAATAGATATTGTGTGGCGTCACTGGCACGTTAGGCACGGTAATCAGGAAATACAATGCTAGGGTGGCATCGAACGCCGCCACGGACCGACGTTGTCTATTAGAAGGAAGTGTTATAGAGAAAATAAGTATTCATTGTCGCAAACTGTATAGTGTGACCCATAAAAAGGTATGCAATTCGTCCAATCTAAAAACATAATGGATTTTTTAAAAAAAAAAAAAACAAAAATTACGTAAAAAACGTAATGTATACTTCGTTTACTTTCTGTAGCGATATGACCTTTAGTATATGACCGACGCAAAGTAGAAAAGAACAGCACTAGGTCAGAAAAGGAAGGAGACAACTCTCGGTCAAACTCTTAACCGGCGAGGAGCGTATAATCCATACAATACTGAACGGAAAAATTGACCATTTTATCCACTAAAATTGTATTGCTCAAATGTGCTGTTATTGGTACCAATTACTACTGAAAATATCAACGAGATGTTTATTTATATTTGAACACATATTAAAAGCTTTAACGCTTGTTTTTGAATCGCACTACTATTCATGATTAAATAAAACTTTTGGCAGGTACTGTTTCGAAAAGTATGTTTAATGAAAAAGATTCGAGAGTATAATGAGCTTTTTTCTCCCTAGCAACAATTTTGCCAACGCGCATCCAAGACATTGCAATGTCAAATTGCTAGAGAAATTAATTAAGTATAATAATGATAATATCAGTATCAAAATCTTAACCGAGCGGCATGGCCTAGAGGTTTAGACCATTGCTTAGCATTCGGGGGACGCCGGTTCGATTCCGGGTGCGTCTGCCTTGGTCCCAAGTTTTTCTGTGGTGACCTTGGCACTTAATCAAAATCAGTATCTAAAACCACAACAGAGAACATTCTTATATACTTTGCTAATGTTTGCAGTTTTCATCATTACTGTATATTATTAAACTGCTGTAAATAAATAAATAGTAACAATGCAAATTGTCAAACAATGTTTTCGAAGTATTTGCAGTAGTATTGCAACGAATAAGGTAAATAACGTTGGGCATTTGACGAGAACGTTGAAATAGTCGAGGTGGTAGTATTGTAGTTCGTGAGAAGAATCGGCATGGGTTTTTCTTGTACCCAATAGGGTCGTACGTGCTCTGTATTTCGATTTTATATTTATACGAACGGCATATCAGGGGACATTTCTTGTCTCCTGCACTACGGTAATAGAAAGATGCAGGCAAGTGCACTGTACCTACTAGATTTTTATTTCTATTTGCGGTAAGTATTATTCTGATGAAGAGAATGTATGTAACTATAAGTAGTAGTCAATGAGGGTTGGATGGGTCCGACCAAAAAAGTTACAACCCTCGAGACTTAACAAAAATATCTTCAATTTTAATTTTTTATTAAGCATCTGCTTATTTCATTTGAATATTCATACGAAATATGTTAATAATTGATGTTTCAGTTTTGATATCGTAATTTCCTTTTTTCGGTGGAGGTGCTTGGCATTCTGGCCCTACTTTTAATGCTATTTTCAGGAGGGCAAGTGAAATTCTATTGCTAAAGTGTTTACAAAAGAAATTTGCTTTTTAGTTACCTCTGAATTTATTTATAAATATTTACTGGAATACTGACCACTTCGAATTTCTTTGCTCGATTTTGTTTACGTGCCCATCACGTAGTGATGAGCTATGCTGTGCATTCAGTTCAGCAAGTGTAGATATCCATCTACTTAAATGGACCGAGCGGCATGGCCTAGAGGTCTAGACCATTGCTTAGCATTCGGGACGACGCCGGTTCAATTCCGGGTCCGTCTGCCTTGGTCCAAGTTTTTCTGTGGTTTCCTTGGATCACTTAGGCAAATGCTGGGGCAGTAATATTCCACAGATAATCTTTCACTCTCTTCTGTCTTCATTTCGTCCGTCTCATCTTTCTCACCCGAACCACCACCCACCCATTCCCACGATTCCTGAAAGCAGGCTGAAGAGGGCCTTCCGCCCTACCTTCCGGCATAGCCCGGAGGGACTGCCCGCCCACCAGCATTACTGGCTGGTGTGAATGAAACACCCAAAAGTTTTTTTTTTTTTTTAAATGGACCTTGTTGAGCTTAATGAATTCCAATAAATGTAGCACTGTACTACAGATGGCGCTTGTCGCGCCATTTGTAGGATTTCATAAAACGCGCTGTGTTAAGGCAGCAGGTAGAGTTGGTCTGCGTTCTGTTGAAACTGTCTGCGACGCGCTGATGAGATCCAACAAGATCGAAATCACGATCCGCGTCTGGCAGTTTTGACAGAATACTAACTACTTCGAATTTCTTTGTTAGGTCTTAATCACTATTCTTAATTTTAAGATCAAACATAATGAAAATATGAAAAGTCCTTTTCTAATTTCCAATACCAGAACAAACCGCTGTAGTAGAAAATAGTTAAGACACAGAAAATCTTTTAGAGCTTTTTTCACACGTATCATCCAACTTTTGAAACGGTCCGCGCGTTTTGTGTATAAAATGCCGTAAATGTTTGTAAAGTATTAGATTTCCAAGTGAACATTGAATATGCTGCACGGTGTCGCGATACAACTTTCAACTTATCGTATAAATTTAGGTTCATTCGACACAACAAACATACCTACGGAAAGAGTTTCGAGTAAAAATGTCAGCATGACGTATTAAAGCCGTTACCATTTCGAACTTGAAAACTCAATGTTACTTCTCGTCACGTATCTCGGAAACGAACCATAAAGCGACGGCAAATGTTCCAACAAACGTCTTTTCTTCGATTGCTTTCGAACGGGTCGTGTTTAAAGATATAGATGGACCCATTAATAGAACAATCTCTTTTTTCTGTTAGATTACCCGCTAAGTTTTAATTCCAACTTAAATAAACTGATCAAGGCTTTCGGGTCTAAAGTCCGTGTTGGTTGGAGTTGCTTCCTAACGTTTCGCTAGCACGAATAGCGCACTTCTTCAAAGGTACATCCAGTCTACATTCAGCATCGGAGATGAGAGAATCCCTGAAGAAACTCGCCACTCGTACTAGCAAAACGTTAGGCTAGGATGGGTTAGGTTAGGCAGCAGTCTACATCCAGCATTGGAGATAGGAGAACCCCTGAAGAAACTCGCAACTCTAGCGAAGCGATAGGTTTGGTTAGGTTAGGTTAGGTTACTTAGCAGTTTACATCCAGCATCAAAGATAGGTGAACACCTGAAGGAACTCGCCGCTCGTACTAGCAAAACGTTAGGTCAGGTTAGGTTAGGTAGCAACATCAACCGAGGACCTTTAGATCAGAGTCAGGACAGCATCAGTTCAACACTAGATTAGTCTGGATCGCCGGCTCCCAATTTATCTTTTCTATGAAACCCTTTTTGACTCACCCTTTTTTGAGGGAACCCCACCTGGATAATAAAGTAAACTGAAAAGAGTCTTAACAATAAGACCCTTGACACCTTATTGTGTACATCGTGCACTCAAAAATTTTATGGTACCTATGTATTTAAAATGCACATTATTATTAGTAATAGCATTAAAATTAGGTGTAATATCCGTCAATTGAATTTGAATATTCGGAAAGGCATCCAGTCAAATTCTGAATTTGTTTTTATTGTAGGCCTAAACCGAAAAGCTCGACAGTGATCTGTAAGTCGATAAAAATCGAGAGAGAAACCGTGGTAACCTTCTTTTAGAAAGGATGAATTCTTAATATCGTTCAAATTCTCATTTAGATGAGGATAAACACTGATAAATTGTAAATCCCAATAATTAAAAATTAGCATTCCCCTAATTTTGAATTGTTATTTAAGATTCGATTTTGTGATAAATCAGGCTATAACGTAGTAAGGATGGTCTCTAGAATTCGGTTGATTTTTGAACTGTCCAGTTGTCAGTTAATTTGTCATCCGTCGTCTAGAACGGTTTTTATCGCGTCATGTAATACGGGTCTCCCCCACAAACAAGTTATCCATCAACATACCTTAAACCCTCGCAAGTTGTCCACCACGCATGTTAGCAGGGCGTCACGGCCAACCACTACTGTCACATTCGGAATCTGTTCGGCGAAACGGGGTAGAGCCGATTCTACAAAACAAAAGAGAAAGACTTATATAAATAATTAGGTCAGTCACTATATTTATAAAATTTATTACTCTATAAAATAATTCGAAGTGGTCTGTATTCTGTCGAAACTGCCAGACTCGGATCGCGATTTCGATCTTTTTGGATCTCATCAGCGCGTCGCAGACAGCGGTAAACGTAGTACAGATGGCGTTTACCGCGCCATTTGTGGTATTTTCTAAAACGCGCTGTTAAGACAGCAGGTAAAAGTTGGTCTGTGTTCTGTCGGAGCTGTCTGCGACGCGCTGATGGGATCCAAAATGATGGAAATCGCGATCCGCGTCTGGCAGTTGCGACAGAATACAGACTACTTCAAATTATTTTATTCGATTATGGTAACGTGCCTATCACATTGACATTAGCTACGCTGGGATTCGTTTCAGCAAGTAGATATCCATACAAATGGACCGTGTTGGAGCATACGTAATCCTAAAATGTAGCATCATACTACAGATGGCGTTTACCGCGCCATTTGTGGTATTTTCTTAATACTCCATACTTTGTGGAAGTTTGACCATAGATTATTTGTAGTTTTTCGGCTTAAGACAAATTGTAGAACAATAATCTTAATCCCGAAAGTACTACGTATACAGAGTGTTCCACCTAAGGCGGTTTCGTCCATAACTCTGTTATTATACATTTAATTAAAAAAATAGTTTTATAAAAGTAGTCCGGAATCATATTGTACATATACAGAAAATATTTTCAGGGTCATACAGGGTGTCACATTACTTCTTGACGCTATTTTAAATGTAACACCTTAATTATTTTTGCATTTTTGGTTCCTTTGTTTAATTTTAGGTCGACTTTGTTAACAGTTCCATGTGCCTATATGTACTAGTTTTTGAGGCATTCAACTATTTTTGAAAAGAAATTCAACTATTTTTTAATGAGACTAGATAACATCTAAACCATTACAGTTAAAAACCTGCGGTTTCCACAGTCTGTTGTAGCATGAACTACCGTGTCTTTTTTGTGTACGTTATTCAGAACCGAAAATATCTAAACCTACTTTTGACAATTTTACAAGACCAATAACTTTTTTTTCAAATGAAACGACTCATATTATATCATCGAACGGTATCTTTTAATATGGGTCTTTCTATTTTCATAAAGACAGTTTATTTATTAAATGTATAAAAAACAGAGTTGTGGACGAAACCGCCTTAAGTGGAACATCCTGTATATTCTGCTCGAAAAACTACCCCTAGTTCTTCAGTAGTCGAATGGCAGTTCTGCCCAGGATAATTTGTAAGAAGAGAAGGAGACGTAGAAAAGTCAATAATAATAATTAATCGATTACCTATCTTCGAAATTCGAAAGATTATCGAAAGTGTTTGTCTGAAGCACGACTCTGTATGGATGTGAAACGTGGATGGTGTGAGCTGAGAAAAATAAAAGGTTAAGCTTTTAAGATATGGTGTCATAGGAGAATATTAAAAAGGACCCTATTCACTTTCCATTCAATTTGTTTGTATTATTAGATAAATATGTGCAATTACAAACTTAAAACAATTTTCGATATTCCCAGAATATAAAGCGCATTTTTTTTTTTAAAGAGCTTGCTGTGTTGATCGTCTACATACAAGAAGATCATGCATATGTTTGTTATGGTGGCATTTTGCGGGAATTCAGAGCACGTGCTGCATGCGAGGTTCATTAATATCCATTGATCGTTTCGTGCAGCGCGGAACTTATCTAATTTTAAGCTGTTTTTGAACGGTAACTCGATCATAGCCTCGCTCTCCATTTACCAAGCCGTACTCCATGTGTTAATTTAGGAGCAGGCAAATATTTGTCATGGACGAGGACTTGAATGCTAACAAGTTATGGTCGGAAGCAGGCTGAATGCATTTAGCGCATGTAGGTATACGTTGCTTTCAAAAACTGATGCGCATTTTTAACGAAAACCACACAAATTCATATTGAAAGTTTAAAATGCATGTTCATTTCTAATATCTGCAACCATTTCAAGGAAATAATTGGATTAGAGTTTGAAAATAAAACACTTTGCACCACTTTTCAAGTATCAAAACTAATTTTGCAATAAAATGTTTGCTTTAGTACCAAACGTTCAACATACCAACATTAATGACAGAGAAAAATCTAACCTCTGTCAAATTATAATACGTAAACAGAAAGAGCACTTAAATAAAGGGTCGTAGAACATTCTCTATCCTTCCACTTAATTCGTTCTTATCAGCTACTAGTGTAAAGTCGTCAAGAGTAGAGCGGATGACCGCCTTCAACCTTATTTTTGGAAATCATGTAAATGAGAGGGTGACAGTTAGGAAGGGAGAAATGAAGACTGATGAAAAACGAAACGTTTCTGTGGAGTATGACTGCCCTAGAATTTGACTTAAGTCATTTAGAAACCACAAAAATACGTATCTAACCTGTTGACATGTATATTACTCGTTCTAGATCGCCGATTTCTCGTGTTAAGCTCAGGCATTTTCATCCAGCGGCGAGTACGTTATGAATTTTCTTATTATTGAGAATTTCTTCGAGTAAAGTCAATCGTCCTTTACAAATAGTAAGTAGTTAATGAGCTATTATGTTCCTTTCTATGTAAAATGGTTAATACATGGTGTCCACAGACATTTCGAAATTAAATTCCCTGACTTTTCCAGATTTTCTAGACATCTGATTTGATAATGATAGATAAAACTGTATATATATATACTCTAGAATATTACTTCAAAAACGGGCAATAAGTAAGAAATTTTCATGCACAGTAAATTGGAAATTCCCTGGCATTTCGGGGTTTCCCAGTTTTGTGGCCACCATGTAATAATAGGCACTATAAAGTCGGCGTTTTTGATAGCAGATTTGGCAAATACATCGTTAGATAAGTAACAAGGTCTACTTTCGCTTTAAAACGTATTATACTATGTATTATGTAATATTATTTACGATGTTTGATCTTTTCGGTCTTCTCTATGTACCTACATATATACCTACAATATCGGATTATCGATTAATTCTCAGAGATAATTCTAATTAAACTTAACATCTATGTGTATTAGATGTAGTTATGTTAAGTGCAGGAAAATCCTAGAATGTAATGCTCGCTAACGATGTCCGCAAACGTACGTCTTTAGTTATGTTATTATCTAATAACATAAAACTATTTCAAAAGTAATAACAGTAATATTGATGATGGGAATATTACACGTGATAATATGTAATACTGATTGTGTTCACGTCTTTACATGGGATAATACATTTTCACTGTCTGCAGGTGTCATTAGAAATGTCAGATTCAAAATAGGCTGAGCATAAAGAGCACTCAGTAATTAGTCGCGATATTGAACTTACTACTAACTCTCATGAGTAAACCATCAATACGTCCGACAAACCACTGAGTAACTCATGTAAACTACTCTTAAATACAAAAAACATGATAGGTATGTCAAAAATAAAATAAAATTTGTTTCCTCTGCTTTATCTTTAAAAGTTAGTGTTTAATAAAATAAAATAATGACTTTATCAACTCATAAAGCCTCTAATGTTTGAGAAGATGGTTATTAGTGATATGCAAAATATTCGTCATCACATCATCACAAGACCGTCAGTCTTAAGACTGGTTGGACACGTACCTCCAGTCTTACCTATACTGAGCTAAACTTCGCATTTTCCTAAAACTAGAACAACCTATATCCTTAACTATTTGTGAACAGTAATTTAATCTAGGTCTACCTCTACCCCTCCTAACTGCTATTTCTGCCTTTAATATGTCTCTGACTAGACCTTCATGCCTGAGAAGGCGTCCTACCAACCTATTTCGCCTATTTTTGATTAACATCCATAGAGTCCTCTGTACTCAATGCATTCTAATACCTCTTCACCTTTTCTACCTACGTTATCCTCATCATTCGCCTATAACACCACATATTATCTGGTTAATTTTATTTCTGGCAGATGACTACCATTTGAACGAGTAAACGGTGAATTATCAGTTGTAAAAGATCGGGGTATGTTTTGCTTATTATCTCTTATAACACAAGCTGCATCTGTGATAACTATATTAAAGTCGTCTTCGATTTTTTATACCTCTCTCTCTCTTGCTTTTTGCGTTTCTGCATATATTCCGGTGATCCTTTTGTAATTCGTACATATTCGCGAAATGCGTTTTAAGTTTATCAAGCTTTGTTTGTAGAAGATCTCGGCCGGCGAATATAGATTTTGAGTCATGTAATTGCGCAGTTTGGTCATTCGTGTTTTAATATCCGTTTGTTTGCGCTTGAGTAGATCGAGATAAGCCATTGTTAGTAAAGAGGAATGTATACGAGATGATGAAATATGTACGGTTGGCGATGGTTTGCTAGGAGCTTAGCAAAAAGCAGGCTCCGGTGTCAATGACCAATGTAAAGACGATTGTAGTCCTGGACTCGCTGCTACAGAGCTGGATGATTTTAATCCTTGCTTTGTGGTAATCCTTTCACATGTATCCGGCTCGAAGGACCAAAAATGTTGTCGCCTTGGTTTGACGACTTATATGAATACACTTTTATGAATGGCATAAAAAGCCCCTATAGAGATAAATACTCGATATGTTTAATAATATTTATTAACATTAACGGTTTGAATTCAATGCACAACCCTTAAACCAGTAGACTAATAAACTTCACAAAAATAATGATAGAAATTAACGTAGAATGTAACGGATTGCCTAAAAGAAATCAATTCTGACAATTAAACTTATTTGTATAGGTCTTTAAATTAATGTGTATATTTGTGGCAGAAACTCGTCTATAACTCCTAAAGACTCATTCGTTAAACGTGTCATTTAGTCTCCGTTAGAGGTACAATATATTAACTTTTCGATTTATACGCGGAAATCTTCAGTGTTCTCAAAGGTAAACGCAAATAATGAGTCATTATTGGCAGTCTGTTCGGTGGCGTATTTTCTGCAACATGATTTCAACGTCTGCAAATTGGCAAACAAGTAGAATTTAACCCAAACCCGGTTTCGCCACCCCGGTAAGTGCTGATAATGCATAGTAGTGGTTTGGAGTTATTACGCTTGCATCGATCGGCAATTATTCCTATCCAGCACTAATTATCCAGTAGTACATTTAATTTTCAACCACGAAAGTTTTGTAAACTTGAACATATAGAGCAGGAAGGCCTTTCGTTTATTGACGATAAACTTAACGAAACTTGGCCAACGATTTCTATTTGCGCTTGCTAAGTAGTCAGCGACCTCCTAATTATTTGCCTTTATATTCGTTGCTTTCCACGAGGAGAGATAAAAAATTTGAACGTTATTTCTCTGGAGTTTTTATCTGTTGAATTCTGGACACTTATTGAATTTATTATTGATCGCAGAAGAACCTTTGCGCAGGTATTACTTACTTTCCGGTTTTTGTCGCTACTTTTGACCTTCTAATTTCTAAATCGTGTGACATATTGATTTACTAATGTAAGAGCCAATAAAACAAACAGGAAATTATTATATAGAGAAATAGGAGAAAATATAACTGAATGTTTTCATCAAACAGAATCTTTTTTCTTCTCTTATTTAACAAAATTTTATACTCCGCAAATGCTTGTTTGAAATGAGTAAATAGGGGAATACTGTTGGAAAACTGATGATACTTCAGGACCTTGTATAAATGCATTTTTTTTTTATTTAATTGGATAACAATTGCAAAAATTATATAATAAAATAGAACATAGGGTAAGCGAGCAGAAGCGAGTCGTTTATAACGTACACTACTGCAATATTTAATAAATTATGTAATAAAAACTTACCGTACGTTTCATCCTGAATCACTGAAATTCCATTAGAATCAACATTACGAATTCTTCTCCCTATAACAATGAAACATAAACAATATTTTGAAACAAAAATAAAAGAAGCCGATTCACAAATCATTTCGAATCGTCACGTAAAGAAATACATTTATTTTCATTAGCAAAGATGAAAACGTTTCATTTTTGGAATTAGGACATCATCAGAGTTCTATATTTTCAGCCTGTTTAAAATGATGCTCTTATGAGGTGTCATAAAACGAGTATCTTCTAAAGTAAACTGCTTGCTTGCGACACACGTGTTTTCTTTTTTCAGTCGTCAGGCAACTTCCGTATCAGAGAAGGCTGTTCGATATTCAAAGCAGGTCGATGCTATTATGTCCTCGCACCCCACCTTCTTGATTGATGAGGTTCATCGCGTAATCGGTCTTGAAATTTTAATGTCGGTGAAAGTAAATTGGCTTATAGGGTTTACCATTATCAAATGGAGTACGCAATTTATAAGCTCTCTCTAAGAGACTCTGTATCCATACATGTGTGCCCATGTGTTCGATACAAGAGTGTCAGATAACCATTGATAAAAGACTCGAATATCTGCAGGAAATGCAAAACACGCACAGTTATTAACAAAACGTTATGGTGATGACCCATGAGATTCTAAATTACCTCTACCACAATTTTTCAGCCATCAACCACAGCGCTTACGAGATTAGGATAAAAAATTAACTGATAAGTGTAACGATTCGTAAAATAAAATCGGTATTTTCGCCAGGATGATTTTTAATTATTGAACATTATTCTTCTCATAAAAACGTTAATTAACAGTAGCTAATGAATCGCGAACCAATTAGAAATACACGGATCATTTATAATATGTTTCCATTTTTAAACAAAACAGCAGGCTCAATTGAAAATAATTCTTTATACCTTTCGATCCCATTATGGCCTGCAGTTTGAAATATATATACAACAAATTAAATTTTGTTCAATATTTGGTTAATTAATGAATCTAGCCCCAGCATTAAATTAATAGAATACGTATTACAAACCTCTGAGAAATCATATTTGATAAATTTAATTATCAAGTGCAGATAGGTAATTACAATAGTATTATTTTTATAACTAATTGTAACTAATTTTAGAAGACATTTATAATTGAAAAATAACATTTAAACATTGTAGGAAGTAAATGGGATGTCGTCCAATAAATAAATCGCTTTGTTTTCCGCTACTGTTGAATGAATTTTCACATTAATATTTGTACCATTTTAGTTTACCAAAAATTAAAATACAAGTTGATTTAATAAATAACCCACTTATTATTACTATTTCTTATATGTATGCATTGAACTATGCTCATTAATAGACCACAAGTATGTTTTCAGAGCGAGTCGTAAGTGGGCATTTAAAATTAATGAGCTCTATATCGGTGCCCTTATTGAATCTTCTGTCAAAGGTAACCGTTCACAGCGACGAATTAATTTTTATAGTATGAATATTACCATTTTACGTTATGCAATTTATAATTGAATGAAGACTGGATGCCATCGGAACAAGATGAACTTATAAAGTAAGAGCAATAAATCATTTAATAGCATCTTTATATCGTCGAGTGCTTGCAAAAATCCCAGAAAAGTTTAACGAGAAGGTAGAAGTAATAATAATACAGAGTGGTATTTTTCTTTTAAACATGATATCATTTGAAAATACTCCCTAAAGAATATTAACGCAATAAAACATTAAAGCTAAAGTGGAAAACGTTTTTATGAAAAATATTATCTTGTCAGATAACATACTGGAAATGACATGTGATTACTACTGTTATTATGTCCCTGTCTTTTAATAATGAGCGAAAACGGGTCACCGTCAAAGAACCCCACTCATATTTTTTTTAATGCATTTATCAATTTAACCTTAACGGAAATTGAGTATTGACAGTACAGTTAACAATCTGCATTATACTAATTTATATCTACTAGTTGTTGCTGCATATTTGCAGTGTTAATTCTGTTAACCCTGCATATCATAGGGAAGTAATAGGTAATAAATAATCGAATGAAATTATAATTAATCAACTTGACTATAATATATTTACATATTACCTCGTAAAAACAATTCTAATACTTAATATAATTAGTGTCAAATTATTTCCTCTTTTGGTTGCTGTATTAAAGTCAAAGTTTGTAAAATTTACCAACTAAATGTGTTAATCTAATAATTTTGAGATGTATCATTTTCCAAATAAAGATATCGAATAGATATCACTTAATTTTTTATTGGTTTTTCTTTCTGCCATCTCCGTCATTCGTTTATTGGTGGCTGTTCCGCCGGGAGCTTCGATTTTTCCTATTTTTCCTTATTTTCCCATTCGAATACAGACCGCACGTCAAACCCAATGACGCCAACGCCTGTGACGTCGTATTTTCGCCACATTTTCCGTTACTTTTTCCTACGGTCACACCAATTATTTAGCCATCCTCTGGCGAGACAGCGGCGCGAAATCTATTTGCAAACTGTCATTCTGACACTGTTCCACTCCTTATCAATTCCATTGGCTCGCTCTCCATTACTTTCCAACTTGTGACCTGATCTTGGTTTCTGATGTACCTTTCATTTTCTCAGAACTGCCTCAACACCGAAATAAATNCCATATTGAGAATAGTGTTTATGCTCGTTTACAACAATTTTTCTCCAAAAAAGTTATTAGTTTCTTTAAATAAAAAATTTCTCAAAGTCTGATGCACACACGCCCGTTTGATATACTACTACGTCACACTTGTCTCGCCAGTACAATATGGTGGCACATCAGTACAATATGGCGTCGATTCATGAAGTTATCACACTGGTCAGTATACTGGGTTATATTTTGGAACACACACTGTTCCACTCCTTATCAATTCCATTGGCTCGCTCTCCATTACTTTCCAACTTGTGACCTGATCTTGGTTTCTGATGTACCTTTCATTTTCTCAGAACTGCCTCAACACCGAAATAAATATTTTAAAGTAGTGGTGGAGTGCAACGTTGCCGCGTCGTGACTCAAAAAGACGGACGCGACTTCGGTTGCAACACAGCAATTTGAAATCCGGTCAAATGCCATTGCTATTCAGAAATGGGAAACCGTCATCCAGCGATCGAAATCTAAGATGGGGTGGTTGACGGTCGCGTTTCAATCCGCATATAAGTGTAGGAGGAGGAGAGAGGGGGGTTGTTGTGGAAAGGGATTTGGAATAACAAAGCTTCCCTTCGGAATTGGCAACCGAGTGCCCCGAACTATAATGGCCATTGAGATTGAAATGGACCGTATACCGTGAGGGTCTTTGAAACGCGTTACAGTTCGAATATAACACGCTTCCGAAGGCCCAACGGGATTAAACAAAATGAGTGAAAACATACGTTACACTCACCAGCTTGGCTAGAGAAGAGAACCTTGCCTTTCAACTACCACCACGAGTGCTTCAAAAGAGACACCGATCCATTTTTTTGTGCGGCGAGAAATGAAAGACGAACGCCGAATCGTTCCGCGGTTCAAAGATTGTTTGAAACTTAAACGAGTCTATCAATAGACACTCTGTATGAAACAAAGAGGCTGAAGTACCTGTAGTAATAGAAACACAAACATAAAGTACCATGCAGTAACACAGTTTGTTATGTACTTATATAGATGCATAATGCATACATTATGTACCTCTCACAATATCGTGAAAAAATAGTACAATGAAGGAGCCGATTTTGCCTTTTATTAAGGCTACGTTGTATTAAAATGCAAATTACTTCTAATCGGATAGATTTACAGACTTCGACAAGACAAAATTGTTAAAAAAAAACAGCTTTCCAAATACTTAAATTGTAAAAAATATTAGTAGAAGGATTGATGTAGCTTGTCCTCAGTAACGTATGCAAATCGTGAATTTAAATTTCGGTAATAGTTTTAACAAGACTGCTAAAAGGATAATTGAATTTTTTGGATTGAAGTCTCTAATTTAACTTTTTTGAACCAGGAAATTGTAAAAAAAAAAATTGTACGTAAACCTAAAATGTAGCATCGTACTACAGGTGGCGTTTACCGCACCATTTGTGGTATTTTCTAAAACGCTCTGTTAAGACAACACGTAAAAGTTGGTCTGTGTCCTGTCGTGCTGCCTGCGATGCGCTGATGAGATCCAAAAAGATAGAAATCGCGATCCGCGTCTGGCAGTTTCGACAAAATACAGACCACTTCGAATTATTTTATTTGATTATGGTAACGTGCCTATCACGTTGAGGTGAACTACGCCGGGATTCGTTTCAGCAAGCAGAATATCCACATATTTAAATGGACCTTGTTGGAGCATGCGTAATCCTAAAATGTAGCATCGTACTACAGATGACGTTTACTGCGCCATTTGTCGTATTTTCTAAAAATATTTTTGTTCAAAGTATCATTAAAAATATTAATTGTAACATTTGATTGTTATGACATTTACAACAAACTAAATAAGGCTCTAAAAGTTTGGTAAATTTAAAGTTATTTTAATATTTACGTTGAAAGGTAAATTAGGAATTTTGTTAAAAAGAAAAAGAGTAATTTTAATAAACATGTTCGATGATTTGGGAATATCAGCAAAGTAAATTGCAACGAAAAGCCTTATGTCCCTTATAAAAGAGTAGTCGTGTGAGCTATTGTATTGTAACTATGAACGTTTCTTCGCTGCGTCGAACCTTTGGATTTTTTCTCATTTTCTTCCCTTTGTTCACGACGGGGCCGTCCAAATTTCTCCTTTAATATCTCCGGTCATAAATCTGAACTTCATCAGCCCTATAAGCAGTATTCGGGGGTATAAAAGGTGCCCTTTTAAGGTGGAGGGTTGCCGTCGCGACGCGCTTTGTATTCAACGGAGGCCGCCGAGGCTCGTCTCTTTCTTCGCATACTACCCTCTCTCTTTCATTTAATCGCCCTCAAGCACACCTCTACTGCCTCACTCCTACGCCTACCCTTTTATTAACATATGAAATCCTCGCACGGAGGCAATAAGTCCTTCTGGCTCATAAATGTGAAAACTTAGTAGGTTGTGAGCTCG